CTCAACTCCTCGAGTGGTATCCAATCATTTGAGTGTTGGATTGTATTTGTCTCTCGCTTATTACATATTATCGATCTGATTTGAAATGGTCACTTTTAAAGATGTTTTGTTTCTGATGCAATAGATGATAAATGATACAAAAAAGCTTTAAATTTCCTGGAAAATGAATCAAATTGAAAAATCGCATGAGTCTCTTGGGTTTGAATGATTCAAGTCAAAAAGCAATGATGTTGTGGCGTTGAAGGGCGAGAAATAGGGTGATGTCAAGACCATTCGACTGCTTTGGCAATCATCAAAGTCGATGACCTCGTTTACCAGTCAGTGAAAGGCGTTATTGATCTCAATAATGCTGAATTCTGATCACATATCACATTGTATCTGTTTACCGAACGTTTCCAAAAAGTGGAGTGTTGTGTGTTTTTATACATACACACACGATGAGAAAATTTCTCACCGTGATGAAAAAGTCGCATTTATTTATTAAGAGCATCCGCACTCGTGCGGCAACTCGGGTGTGGTAAGTGTAAATTTACCGAAACCGCAGGGCTTTTTCCACACCGGTGGAAAAGTAGACCTGTGGTACAAAATTTTCGGATCAATTTGAGGTAAGCCAGAAGTAAATACAATCCTGGCCTACCTCATACTTTATACCCGGTAACTACCCGGGTCCTACTGCTTTCGAACTCGACTCAACCAGAATCATTCGACCACATACCACCACTCATCAAATGGAAATCAAAGAAACAAAATCTCGCAAGCCACGTGCTCCGAACTGGACAGTGAAAGAAGAGCAGCAACTCACAATCTCTTGGATACATGTGTCTTCCAAGCCTGAGATTGGAACGAATCAATCCTCCGAGATGTTTTTCAAGAAAGTCGCTGATCATTTCAACTCAAAGATTGATCTTCATCATCGTGATTGGGAACAAGTTCAAACTTGGTGAGTTGACTCGTTCTCTATCAGTACTGATAAATTTACTTACTCATTGTTATTTTGCACAGCTGGAACTCTCTCCGAACTTCGACACTTAAGTTTTCTAGTTGTTACGCTAAAATCGAACGGTCTCCTCGAAGTGGAAGCAATCTTGTCGACATCATGCGAGATGCGAAGGCGTTATATACCTCAGAAGATAGCAAGAAATGCGAGTTCAAGAGTGAACTCGCATGGGAAGTTTTAAGATTGGAACCGAAGTGGATCGTACCGGAACCTGCTCCACTTCCACTCCCTCCTTCCTCAGCTGTTTCCATCGCCAGCTCAGCACCACCAACTGATAACGAACACCCTTCTAGTCCGGTTCGACCCTTAGGCAAGAAGAAATCAAAAAGAATGAGATTAAGTGAGGCTAAGGATGAAGAGGGAATTGATAAATTAGCTGAAATCAAAGCAGAAGAACGTGATATAAATGCAAGAAGGGTATCTGCCATGGAAGAAGCAAATCGTCTTACCCAAGAGATGATGGGACCCGAGATTATGGCAAAAGACCTTGAGATTTTAGATAGAGATGAAACTACCATCAAAAGCGAGGTGGCTAGAAAGGCTTTGAAGAGGATGAAAGCTCAGATCCTTCTCAAATATGAGAAGATGGAAGTTGAAGACACTGATGCTTGATAGGTAAGCTTTCTCTTCATTTTCTCAATTGCCATCATTTAGGTTGACCAAATCTTTTTGATTTCAACTTTTCAACACACAGATTTAACTACATTATGTTTTAAAAGTTCTTCAATTCTATTTTTACTTTTGTCTTTCTTTTTTTATATCAAATTGTTTTTATCACCTGACCGATACATGTAAAGAAGCTATAAGGCCAGATTTTCCAGATTTCTTATACCACCTCGTGCCAACCATCCGGCTGTGATGAGATCACGAGTCAAACTTAAATGTGTCTCACTATTGTGAAGTTCTTGAGAGGCAGCGATGAAAGTGGTAAGTGATGGGGCCAGACGTGGATCTCGGACATTTGGAACCACTCGAGATTTGCTGTCGTAGTCGGAAACGATGGGGTCTTTTTCAAGCCTGGCCATGTTGTGCAGCACAATGCAGCAATACATGATCTTCCTTATATCGCACATTTTCCATAGGCGGCCAGGCTGTTTGATTATCTCCCAGTGAGCTTGAAGGATACCAAAAGTTCTTTCGATGTCTTTCCTAGCCGCCTCTTGTCTGGTGGCGAAGTAAGCAGTTGCATTGTCACCAGGATGTCGAATTGACTTGATAAGCACTGGCCATGATGGGTAGATCCCATCAGCTAGGTAATATCCCTGTTTGTATTCGTGTCCATTCACAGTAAAATGGATATTGTCGTCAGTTCCTGTGTAAATATAAAATTATTTCTGTCAATATCATAAATAATTTGTATCAGAGAATAGAAATAGAAATACCGGCAAGAAATCTGTCAAACAATGGACTTTGATTGAGAATATTAATATCATTCAAAGATCCGGGAGCTCCAAAATAAGCATGCCAAATTCTGCAGCTTTTTGAAGCAACAGCTTCAAGTACTATACTTGGAGATTTTTCTTTTCCTTGATACTGTCCTGCCCATGCAGATGGACAGTTTTTCCAAGACCAATGCATCCCATCTATAGATCCCTTACAACCAGGGAAACCTCGTATCTTGTATTCTTTTGTAATGATTTCCAACTCTTCCTTTGTTGGAGGTCTTAAAAACTTGGGGCCATAAATATCAATTATTGCTGAGCAGAACTTCTTCAATGCTTTCAGAGCTGTACTTTCTCCTAACTTCAAATACTCGTCTGTAGCATCAGCTGGTACAGCATAAGCAAGCTGGCGGAGGGCTGAGGTGACCTTCTGCTTGGTTGACAGGCCTAATCGTCCTGTACAATCCTAGAAGCAGAAACACAAATCAAAAACTTTAATAATGAACATCAAAATAATAATGAAGCACACCCTTCTTTGTTCCCAGTATTTATCATGCTGCACTAGCCTAGTGCAAATATCAACAAACATCTCGCGGGGCATTCGAAATCTACGTTGAAATGTCTCTTCATCATAAGCTGGGTTTGGGGAGAGATAGTCCTGAAAAAGTCGTGCATCGGCTCCTTCTCTATCCCTGTTCACCATTCGTTTCTTTGGTCTTTCAGTTTCTTCATCGGATGTATCATCCGAGCTTGAATCTTGAGTCCACTGCGCGAGCTCCTCCTTGAAAAAGTCTGTTGTTCTTTTGAGGTGTCTTGAGAAGAACGTATCTGGCATTTTGAATCTTAATCTTCTCGAGTACTTTGGTATTTTCAAAGTTACAAAATTTTCACCGGTGTGGGACTTGTACAGTATGTGAGAAGTAACAAATGTTACTTCTCATATACTGTACACGAGTGTGAAAAACATACTGTATTTGTAATTTTTAACTTACCGTGCAGGTGGGTACCGCAAAAGATACCGAAACGCACCACAAACGAGTGCGGATGCTCTAATGCGACTTTTTTTGCCGAAGTGGGTGGTATGTAGGGTTCAAGTTGGCCAAAAAGTGATTAAAACTTTGAACACTATTCCTTCCAGCCCTTCAATTCTTCTGTTTTGTAAAAAAATGCCACGAGTGTGCTTCTGAATCACAGGGCGGGATTTCTCAGTGTTCTTTAAAAAGGTTCAAAATTTTCAACCCGAACTGTGATAGTAGATACAGGGCAATCCTTCCTAATTCAACTCCCTGCTCTCCCTTTCACAAAGGATTGGAGCCTGCGCGAAGCAAGGCGGAAAGTGCGGAAATCGCGGAAAGTGCGGAAAAAATACAGAACTGTATAAACAGCCCTCGAAAGAGCACTGTCCGAATTGGGCAGTTAGGCTTACTTCGAACTTCGAACACGTTTCACCATATAAAGAATGTTGGGTGAAATACTCGTTACGAGTAACAATTGATTAATTACAAAAAAGTAATGTTGAGTAAAAAGTACGATGAATAGGCTTGTTGGGTAAGGGCAAAGGGATAGGGAACTAAGCGAATCGAAGACTTTCATTTTTTTAAAAGACCTCCCTCATCTTCCTATCAATGCTTTTGACCGAACTCATATCGCTTCTTGATGCCCATGATGCCAACATCATGTTGACAATCACTGTGCAAGACTTTGTCAAATGCTTATGTGTTGCCGCCGAGGTGGTTGTGCGGTCTGAACAGTCTCTTCAGCTCACTACGCACAGAAGGCCTATACAATACCTTGCTGCGAGCCTTCCGCCATCCATACATCACTATCTGGAGGTGTTGTTGGCTATGGCGAGTAAGGGATACAATTGAGAAGAGATATGATCGAGAGCAGGTGCCGAGTTGTTGATTTGATAAGTTCTTCATCTCGTTTCTTTTGCTGGATGATAGCTGATACATGTGGTTGGATTAATAGTTCCGCATTGGTCATAGCATCAAAGGGCCTTTCCGCTTTGGGATGCTGAAACAAAAGTGCTCACATGTCTACCCTGTACGTCTAACCTGTATTTTCCGCACTTTCCGCACTTTCCGCACTTTCCGCCTTGCCTCGGGGAGGCTCCGATGCTCTCCCCTTTCACTTCATGAGGAGGGCTTTTGCCTTCTTTCTCTATCACAAGTTTTCCTAACCCTTGAACTCCTTCTCTTTTACATCAACGTGCAACATCACTAAGATACAAATTTTCCTCTTTGTCGGTAGAGGGACTTTGTTAAGTTACTCCACATTGCAAGAGGTTTTGGTACGGTAGGCTTAGTTTTGAAGACCTCGAGGGTTTTTTATATGCTAAAACGCTGGACAATCCCGGAGGGTCTGAGCAAATTACAGTGATGAAAATAAATCCTGAGAACCTCTATAGGGGCGGTCTATATAAGAATGCCATACTAAAGTGGGAGGGAGGGCGGAAAACAAAAATGATAATATAGTAATACCTAAGAGGTTTTTTGTTCACAAAGGCTATTAATTAGATCTTGAAAACCATTGCAATCTACTCTTTACCATTTGCCATTTGGTCATATAAAGATCCACAATTTGAGGACTAATCATGAATCACCTCAACTCGTATAGGCTTTCGGATTTCATAGACTGAACTAATTAGTCATTATTCTCCTATTAAATATTCTCCTTGGTTAGAACACCTCCCAACCAACATCATCACATATCATCCTTGACTTCGGATGTTCAGCCTTCAAGACAACCTCGACCACCGGTGTCCGTTATATACCTAGCTGTGCAAATCCTGACTACTTCAGACCCATTATCTTGAATATGATTTCCCGATTTTGCTCGGGAGCTGACAAGTTTTCGGTTTCCGGTTTCCGAGATTATGGGCTCTACGAACGAGATATAATTATATCTCAGAGTTCGTCTGAAAAACCTTTGACTTGCATTGTGCCACTATACCACACGTGTGATCACCTCGACAATGGATCGTCGGAAAAAACAAAAGGATTGAAGAACGAAGAGATCTTACAGAAAAACCTATGTTAAGATCAAAATGAAATCTCATACCCACCGAACTCGCTGATATCTTCGATCCAATCACCTACTGGATCGACAACCGAGCTAATTTTGTATTCAACGCTCATGAAAGCTTGGAAGATTAAGTCGACACAACCAGTAGGCTTCCATATCTCTATATAAGCCCGTTCCTGTTCACGTCTTTAGGATCCATATCATTCAACCAAGCCTTCTAGTTTTCCAATACACCAATTCTATCTCTCGTAGCCTGATTGCTGGTCTCTCTGCTTTTAATTAAGATCATCAACAATATGTCAAATCTAAACCTTGGCCGTCTATTTTTTGTCATCAGTGTTCTCACTTTGCAAGGATTATCTTTACCTACACCCAATTCGCTTGTACAAGATGTCTTTAAAATCCAGACCTTGGGTCATAGTCGTTTCGCTAGAAGAGAGCTTGATGCTACCACGTACGAGACTTATCAGGTGAGCTTAAGACTCTCATGATACTTTAGAACTTGCAGCAACTCATCAAGTTCTAAAATATTTGACGTTTGTATAAATCAGATCTCAGACGGAACGGCGGGAAATGCAAAAGAAGCTGCGAGCAAGTTGTTCTTGCAACCTTTCGGATTGACTTTGTCACCTGAACTGGAAGTCTCCCCGATAGAGGCATTGAAATCGATCAGTAAGGAGGACATCAACGCGATGTTCAAGATAGGTCATGAAGGAAATGTTCAGGAGAAGGAAGGATTCAATCAGGCTATCGAGGTATGTGACCATCTGATCCTGATATCTTCAGAGTATATGTCTGATTCTGCGAAACGTAACTAATGTACCCTTCCTTATGATTCAAAAAGGCCGCCAAAGGGAACAAAGAGTTGCTTGCCACACTCAAGAGGGGAAAGGTGAATAAAAGAGTCTGATGTCTCGGGTCATCACTTGAATCATAGCTGACCTTTCTTTTTCTTCTTGTCTCATTGATAGACTGCCAATAAGGTCTTAAAGTTAATGGGTAAGTCAGAAATAGTCTTCCTTAACCACTTCCAAAACACAAACACATTATCTTATTTTTATCTTTGTTTGTTTTTCTTAAGCTCAAGTTGTGGGTTTAGCTGTAAGTTTTTGTTTTGATTTATCTTATTGTGATTCTGCTTATACTAATAAAATAAAAATTTCATCTTGTCTCTTTCATTGGATCTAGGCTCAAGTGGCCCAAGGCGGAGAAGAGAGAAAAGAGAAGCTAGAAAAAGAAAAAAAGAAGTAAGCAAGCAATCTCTGTCAACAACAAGATTTCCTAGGATGTTATAACATGTTACTTTGTAGCACCTTCTTACATCATCTTCAACTTGAACCATCACTGATCTGGATTCTCATCTCGTGGTTTTTTTTGTATTATTGACATCAGGTTGGCTCACAATATTGAAACAGATGAAAAAAACAAAGGCAAACCAATGTCTTCTTTCCTTTCTGGTAGTACTAGTGGTACATCCACTCATCAAACTGAATCAGATCCTGAGTCTACAGATGAAACAGAACAGCCTGAGGCATCAGAATTAGGTAAGATAGACAAGCAAAAGAAGAAATCAAAAAAAACAAAGGAATCAGAAAATTAATAGAGATCAGTAACTTCATACATAGATATGTTGAAAAGACAGCTTTTCTATTACCTAGATCAATACCTTGACCTCATAATTTTCCGATTGTTTGATCTTCCTTAATTTGATAGCTTCACTTGTGTAAATTCTTTCTTCAATCAAAAGAAAGGAGAACTTGAAGGATACAAATTGCAATAAAATTCCAGTTCTGAGTTTTATAAGTCAATACATATTGGCTCATACTAAAAAGGTGACATGCATATCATTTATCTACAAGTAAGTTAAGTATACCAGCAAAAGATGAACGAAAGTCCTTGTATAAGTTAATGCTCTATCATTAAATGATAAGTTCAAATTTAAAATTGCAACCCAGAAATCCATTCGATTTGCTGCATCTAATTCATGCTTAAATTGATATCAAAAATCCAACCATATTTAAAATTTCTTCATTCGATTTCAAGATTTTTTTTGTTGGAAAGGAAAAACAAAATGCAATGCATATCTACAGATATAAAACTGAAAGTAAAATCAAAATCAAACAAAAATGTAAAAAAAGATCTCTTCTAGTCAATATAAACTTCTTCCTCACTGATTTTTTAAAAAAAATGATAAAATATATATACACAAAAACAAAGTAAAAACGAAAAACAAAACCTAATAAAAAACCAAAACCAAACTAGATATATTTATTTATCTAAAGTGTAAGTAATAAAAGAAAAAATCAATGCTTTGTTCGTTCGTTCATTCATTTTTCGAAAAATGAAACAGAAATAATAATGATGATAATCAAAAAAAAAGACAAAAGAAAAGAAAAGAAAAAAAGAATGCAATTAAATCAAGAACTTTTTGATATTTATAAACTTCACAAAAGAAAAAAATCCAAAACAAAGAAAACAGAAAACAGAAAAATACCAACAGAACTCTTTGTTTTTACAAAACAAAAAAATAATAATCCAAAAAAAACAAAAACGTTCCACAAAATGCAAAATCCAAAAAAGAAAATCATAATCCAATATGTACAAATCAATAAACCCAAATCTTTCCAAAAAAGAAAAATAATAAAAAACTTGAGATGTTTGATTTTCAAAAGAAAAAAAAACCTTAACTAAACCTTTTTAAGATTTTTTTTCTTCACTTCACTTCATTCATTCTTCAACCGAATCCTTAACTAATCCTAAACTATTCTTCTCAATCACTTCTTTTCCCCCTTCCTTTCCCCCTTCCTTTCCTCCTTCCCCCTTATCTCCTTCTCCTTGAACATCTTTAACAACTTTAACTTCAACCATACACTCAACATCAAGTTTTCCATCTTTTTCCAATTTACGATCATCCGAGTTAACCAAAAACTGAGTTCTAGTAGGAGTTTCATCATGTAATCCTCCTATCACATTCGTTTCATCAAGTTCTTCGTCACTCACTTTAACACTTTCATTCTTCTTGGATTCTTCTTCATCTTTAAAAAACGCATGATTCGAAAGTTGATCGGCTCCAGGTCTTGCAAGATGATCACTAAGATTCCATAAAACCCCAACCGAAAACAAACAAACAAATCAAAAATCAGTTTGAATTCAATAAGAAACAAGTATATATAAGAAATCTTACATTAAAAACGTTTGTTTTAATAAATCAATACAATCATCTGTAATATCATCCGGAATCTCAGGTGTAGCAAACGATCCAATCTAAACAAACCCCCCCCCCCCAAAAAAAAATCAAAATCCAAAACCCATCAATTTAGCTTTCCTTCTTCTAAAAACAAAGAAAACTCAGAAAACAGAGAAAAACTTACTCTAAAGATAGCTTGCATCTGAGTCAGATTAGCCCAAGGATGTTCACCCGTCAACATCTCCACAATCAAACACCCTAAGGACCAAATATCTGCTTTACGAGTATAAGAAGTTTGTTTGACGACTTCAGGTGCCATCCAAAACACTGATCCTTGTAAAGAAGGTCTATGAACTCTAGCATTCGATAACAAATCTTTTGTGCAAGAAAAAAAAACCCAAAGACATCAGATCAGTCTTCTTCATAAACCAATCCGGCAAACCCATTCAAAGTTTCTTTTCTGTGAGATCAAACTACTTACTATCTTCAACCCTTTTAGAAATTCCAAAATCCGAAATCTTAATCACTCCTTTATTATCCACAAGTATATTAGCACCTTTAATATCCCGATGAATGATTTCTTTAGAATGTAAATAATTTAAACCCGTTAAGATCTGTTTAGTAAACGTCTTGACCAAAGCTTCTTCAAACGATCCATAATTCTTAAGTAAAGTTGAAACCGATCCACCAGGTACATATTCCAAAAAGATATTAAAATACGAATCATCTGCCGATGAATCTAAATATTGTACAATGTTTTGGTGTTGTAATTCTTTTAAAAATTCGATTTCTCTAACCAAGGCTGATAACATGGATTTCTTTCTTTCTTCATTATGTGAATTACCTGTTGGTCTTTCTACTTGTTTGACTGCCATTAAGGTTCCATTCAATGCATGCATTCCAAGATATACCTATCGAGAGTTTTAAAATCATTAGTTTCTATAGTAAGCTTGATTCGATGATCTAAATTCACTCACGCTTCCAAAACTTCCAGCACCAATCAAAGCACCTCGTACCCACTTGATAGATGCTTTTGCTAAATTATCAAATCCCAATACAATTCAAAGATCAGTCATTCAGATGTCACTTATATATAGTCAACCAATGATTCGACTTACATCCACTAGACGTCATCTTTTGAGGGTCATCATTATTATCTTTCTCGTCTCCGTCATCATCCTCATCATCCTCATCCTCATCATCCTCATCATCCTCATCCTCATCTTCTTCATCTTCCTCATCCTCTTCATCTTCCTCATCTTCATCTTCACCATCATCAATCTTCTTCACCTCACCTTCATCTTCATCCTCAGTCTCTTCCTGAATCGTAATCCTTTGTGAACTAATCGATTTCCTCGGCCCAGTCTGATTACCCATCATCATCTTAACCCTTTCATCTTCATCATCTGATCCTGATCGATTGTCTTCGACTCCAAGATTCGATAAATCATTTTCTGATCGACTCACTCCAAATCCAACTCCCATACTCAACCTACGATTTTCAACTTCGGCCGTCACTTCATCCAACGTTAAAATACTAGCACTATCTGAATCTCTAGATTTACGTTGAGTACTAGGTCCATATCCAGAAAGATGTCCACCGTTCGAACTATTACCTCCCACACTTAATCTAGAATGAGGTCGAATACTACTTTGATGACTATTAGCATTTCGATCAATAGCTTGTGAACTTAAATCTTGATGAGAATTATACCTTTTATGTCCTGAATTCTCTGAAGGTGAAGGTGATGGATTAGTTGAACGTTTGTTGGCTGGTTCAGATTGTAAATTACTATCATCAATCGAAATCCTAGGTGATGAATCATTTGGTACTCGAATATGAATCGGACTCATATGTCGAACTCCATGATTGACACCTGAGATGGTAGAATCCGTTGAAAATCTAGATTGATTGAATCCTGGATAATTCGTCATATCCCAACTACCTCGATCATCTTCTCCTCCCATCATACCTCCTTGATGTGAGAATTGACTAGATCTTCTCATGGCCATGGATTTTCTAACAGATTGTCTTACCGATTTAGATAAATTCTTCTTCTTTTCAACCTGTGGAAAATAATCAACTAAATGATTCGAAATCAATTCAGACGGTGGTCTGAAAAAGTTACGTAATTTGCCTTTTCCAGTGGCCAAGAAACTCGTGGCTCGATCTCCTCCTCCTCCAGGTGAAGTGATCCCATCTGGCATAGGTGGTACTCTTTGTTTTGAATATTGTTGTAAGGAAGCATGGAAATCCGGTGGAAGTGGTTCTGAATGTCTAAATGGATCAACCATCAAACCTGACATCACACTAACCACGCTGGCCCGATGCCTGTATTGTCGAGGTGGTTGTGGATGATCATCTGGAGTATTACCTTCATTGCTTAAAGATTGTAAAGATCGATTATCACGTGGGGTAGCTGGTAAGGATTCATCGTTCGCTCCATAAGATGATTTCGATGGAACTGAGTTGGTCGGTGAAGTTTTACTATCGCTCGCATCTTGTGGTCGATCAAAGGAAGTGTTAAAAAATGAAGCCGAGATTGATAAAGGTCCAAGTTCGATGACATTAGGTGTCACCAAAGCAGAACCTTCAGGAGGCGGGTCCTCCCCAAAGAAATCTTGTAACTTACGATTTCGTTTTGGATGTTGTTGCAAGTTGAAAACTTGTCTGAGCAACAATCCTCGTTGTCTTTCGGGTCGGTTGGCTGATTTACATATATCGAGTAATTCGTTTTCGTCGAGTTGTTTGATCGGACCTGTGATGGAAAAAGCGAATCAGTAAACGTATCAAAGTATCTCTACCACTTTCTTGATGAACCAAATGATAAAGATGAGGACTGACTCCTGTTAAATTCATTGACTCCACCCACAGGCATGGGGCAAATGATCCATTCATCTAAATTCAAAACCCTACCATTCACCGTCACTTGACCTGTACCATTCACTTGACTGAATTTTTTCAAGACTCGATCCATGAATTCTGTTGCAGTACTCAAGTTTTCAACATTGATAGTCTTCATGATTCCATTCTCACTCAACGTCACCTTGATCGTCCGTCTCATGACTTCATCCAACGTAGGTTGATTGAAACTAGAGATTTGACTCGTCGTACCTGCTACAACGCCCACTGTACCTGCTGGAGTGGTAGGTCGACCGAAACCTCCACGTCCTACTTTGAAACCTACTTCTCGGGTAGTAGTAGTAGAGCTTGGAGTACCTTGTCCAAAGCTAGGAGCCGGTGTTTCAGGCGGCAGTCTTCCATCAGTAGCATTAAGAGCGCCAAGACTAGCAGCATCCTCCAGAATTGAACTCAATCCTGACATGTTTCCACTGGCAGTCGTAGTTGTTGTACCATACGGTAGACCACGAGGACAAGGTGAAGCCTGACCTGAGACAAGCATTCGAAAATGAGTGAATACAAGAATGATCGGATCTGATCGAAAAACAGTAACTCACTTGTAGGAGAAACAGGCGCGTTTCCAGTGGTTGGATTTGTAGAGAGTGAGATAGGCTTGGTTCCATTACTAAAGCTAGGCGCTTTACGATGGTCACCTTTTTTAATATACAAAGGTGCAGTTGATCCAGAATTAGGATTAGTTGAATTAACACTAGATGGAGTTGAAGTGATAATACCAGATAGACCAGGTGTTGTATTGAATGAAGGTTTTCGTGTCAAAACACTCCCCATGTTACCTGGAGCAGGAGCCCGAGGTAAACCAAATTCAGAATTCCAAGCGATTGCACCACTCCCACCTGAAGGCCCAGTAGCAGTGCCTTGACGAGTGAGTTGTGGATTGCCATTGCCAGGTAAGGTTGGAGCTCGATCGCGAGCCAAAAGATTGGGTGCTGGAGAAGGAGTAGAACCAGGATCAGTAGCGATTCTTGTACGTCTAGACCTGGTATTATTCAAATAATCAGATGAAGAAGGTGGTTGAGATCCAGTCGAGCTTGCAGGCTGAATCGGATGTTGGGGTAAACCGTGAAACTCGTTATAAGACGTTGGACCAGATCGAGGGGAGGTACCAGTTGGATTGGTACGATTCGAATTGGAAGCTGATGGTGCTAAAAGATTAGTTGAGGTAGATAGGTTTGAATTCATAGAATTGTTTGAAGATTGTGCTTTGAGTTGATGAGAAACAGCAGCTTGATAGGTATTGTTAGCACGATTTGCAGACGCGATTGAAGTAGATTGATAAGCATGAGGTAAACCTTCAAGTCTTTCGGCTAATCTTAAAGGAGGTGGGATGGCTTTGGCCTGTTGACGCAAGGAACCAGATCTAGACCTTGTACCTTGTTGTGAATTTGAATTATGATCATTAAGATTGGAAGTGAGAGTAGTTGTAGTTGATGAAGATCCAGAATCGTAATTCCAATTTGAGTTGGCAGAAGTAGGGAATGATCCGATTGAAGAACTAGATTGAAGATTATGTTGTTGTTGATGTTGTTGTTGAAGTGAATTTGAATGAATCGGATTAGGATTACTAATATTCAAATGAGAAGATGAGATAGCATTCCTTAGAACCCTTTGATCTCGATCTCTTACACAACGTTGTTTTAAATCTTTAACAGCCACAATGACTTTAACACGATCTCCAACCTTACTAACGCCCATCTCTTTGAGAGCAGCTTGATCGACATCAAGTAAGACATCACCAATAATATCATTTTCAGCAAAGATTGAAGCCAAATGAGATAATTTTAAATCTTGAAGCCATTTCAAAACCTGATCGTCTGACCAAGTTTTAAGGAATTCTAAGAATGAGATACCGTTTGGAATGATCGGACCAGGAGGTGGGTTTGAGTTTTGACGAGATGAAGTAGCATGAGAAGGAGGTGGAGTTAAAGCTGAAGAAGTTTCACGAGAATGATTTTGATGATGATAATGATGATTTGAAGAAAGTTGATGATGATAGTGTTGATGAGGAGAGGTTAGATGAGGAGAAGTAGGAGATCTTCTGAGTGAAGTAGCTGAAGTAGATGATTTTTGATTTAATTGTAAATGATGAAGTTGTTGATGATGATGAAGATGAAGAGAAGATGAAATGTAATCAGTTGGTGAATGAGATGATTTAGGAGTTTCTCTTGGTGATTGATTGATATTGTTAGATTGATGATTTAAATTTAAAGAAGGTGAAGATGAACTTGGATTGTTATTGTTGTTATTGTTGTTATTTGAGTTTGAGATTGATTTAGGTGATTTTTTTGAAAGTGAATGAGATCTAGATAAAACAAGTGAAGGTGGTCTTGGTCTAACATTACCTTTTACCATCTTGAATCTCAATGATACCTTGGATTGAATTTGATTTGATTTGATTTGATTTGATTTGATTTGATTTGATTTGATTGGATGGATGAGTAAAAGGTTTTCAAGAAATTATAATCGATTTCATCTCAATCAAGATGATGGTTTGAAGTTGAAGGGTCAGAAGACTGCTAAAACCATTTCTCTTAAACTCAATTCAACCGATTCAAATCAAAAAATTAAAATTAAAATTAGAAAAAAAATAAAAGGATTTCATCAAACCTTTCATCAGTTGGATTTCTATAGACTATCAGTATCGACCACCCCTTTCATCTTCAACCCATCCATTCTCATCTCAAGAAATTCAACAAAAGAAATCTTCAATCATCTTCAACCGTCACTTTGAACATTTCCTTTCTCTATCATCAACACCTTTGATCGTAGCCACAACTCACATATTCCTGCAGATTCCCTTTGACAAAATCCGATCAGCTACACCATCTCGTCATTCAACGGGTACGTCAAGCAAGAGAGATGCACGTATACGGTTAACACGTATCTAGAGATCTGGCTCGGGAATCTTTTAACGATAATACAGACTGGATGAATTTAAAGGAAAGGTTTTTACAAATAAGGAAAAGGAAAAGTGAACAGCAAACTTGTTAGGATACATATGCAATCAAGAGAATTCGATTTTCACAGTTTTTCTTGCTGTTTACCATCACTTTTCACAATTGAGCACTTTATGCAACTCGCGAGGAGCATCTGTAGATGAACTCTAAAAAGTAATCATCAAAGATCAAGGTCAGCATACAAAAAGACACTTTACAAAATGCATTCAGTATCTTACGGCCCATTTGGTACCCATCTCGCCACCATCTGTCCCCCATCTTCAGGCTGGGGCCGCATGCTTGTTTCAAAAGGCGCACCCCTTTCTTGATAGGGCGTGTTGGGCGCGCTTGTGTGTGTGTAATGGAAACCTTTTTTTAACTTGTCTGATTGTTATTTGTATTGTGTTCTAACTTCTACCTTCCTTTGTTCTGTTTTGCCATTCATAACTTGGTTATCTGACACCATCTGAATTAGAAAAAAGCATCAGACAAGCTTATGAATTATACCAAGACTTGCAGATAAACTCACCACAAAAATCTATGTGTTCATAACACCTCTCACAAAATTGTAAAGATGAATGTTTCCTAAATTCAAAAGAAACCCAAGTAAAGATTATTCCAGCACACATGCACAGTTTATAACATTTATCAGGATACATCTAGATATTTTGATTCGTATCAGGTACTGGAACCCTAAGCCATTCTAATAAGTGAGTCTCACAGCTGAAATAATCATGTTAGAAAGAAAGTCAGCAGGTGATAGTAGACCTTCAAACCCAGTAGAATGTTCTTCTGCCTGCATTCCTCTTCATTCTCAGTCATAAAGTGTATCTACCATGCACAAATATGTTTGAATGTGTAAAGTACCTACAGATTCAATTTCAATGCCAAACCTGACCTATATGTTCTTGCAAAAATTTAGATTACAAAATTGATATTAAGATCTCAAAAACAAAACAAAACAAAACCATGGCTTAGGATACGATTCTGAGATGACATATTTGAGAATCATAATGCATGTTCATTGAGTTGACTTGAAAATAAGCTAAAATGTGTAAAGAAATAGAGTTCCAAAAAGATACAAAGAAGAAAAAAGGGAAGATTGAAAATGACACAATAGACATCCTTATACACAAAAAAAGAAAAAGTTTAGGTAAAAAGTGTACCAAAAAAAAAAGTTGAAATCTGATGACCATAAAATCATGTTTCAAAGAACCAATCGAAAAAAAATTAAAATCATCTTTTGTGGTCATTTGGTCATACAAAATTATGTGAATCAGGATGAGTAATTTGATTTCAAGATTAATAAAGATTTGAATTTGTTAATCAATGATTGATGAAGATAAATAAGTTTACTTTGGTTGAATTGATCTAAAGAAGTAGAAGAAGAAGTAGAAGCCATTCTACTACTAGAATGAGAATGAGAATGAACTTGAACTTGGTCTTGATGATTATAATTTGCAATCCTAAACCCATTAGAACCTTGATAACCTTCAATACCTTGAATAGTAAAACTGAAAAATAACCTTAAGATCAATTCAAGCATCCAAACAAATCCTTTGATAAACCGATTCCATAACCCAAACTCTTCATCTAATTTGATCATCATTTCAATTAAATCACCTATCAAACAAAAACCTTTTTCAATTAATTTAAATTGATCTTCTAAGAAAATTATTAAATTCATCATTCTAAACAAAATCAGTTTGATGTATTGATAAAATGTTGAATTCTTAATCCAGATTAAACTTGAAATTATCATCGTTAAAATTAAATTTGTCCAATAATGAATCGATTGAGTTGAGATTTCATTGGGATTTGTTTCTTGAATTAAACAATTTGGAATCTTGATTGAGATTTCTCTACCACATTTACACTTTGAATTCCATTGAGAAGTAGAAGAAGAAGAAGAATGGTCTCTAATTTCTTGGTTCTGTGATAAATCTTCTGTTTCAGATAACTCTTTAATTTCTTCAATCTTGTTTTCTTGCATATTTAATGCTATTAAATTTTGATTCGAATTAAATTGTCGAATTAAAATCTTTGGTATAAAATAAGTTTTCCAAGTAGATTGAGAGATCAATTGGTTTGAATCATTGATTATATCCGACGATGAGGATGATGAATCGTTTTGAGAATTGATGAGACTCTCAAGTTTAGAACGTAAAAGAGTTTGACGATAAACTGGGCCAAGAATGCAAATTAGTCAAGAAGAAATCGTGAGGAAGAATGAGGATTTGAAGCTTACCTGAACCTGGAAGATCGTTCAATTTGAGATTATCAGGTAAAGCTCCTATAAAATAATCTAAAGAAGAAAGATAACAATCCACTGTTCCATACCAAATCAAAGGAATTCATCAGATTTCAATGATCATCATAAGAATTAAAAGTGTAAAACGGTCTTTCGAACAGAAAAGGTAATTACCGATATAAGCTTCATCTTGATTAGATTTGTTTAATTCTTTTAAAGCCTCATTAGATAAATGAATAGATTGTTGAAGATGTTTCGAACTAAACATTTTGAATGATCAATTCGATGTAAGCAAATCCTTTGCAAAAGAAAAAATCGTAAAAAGCTAGAGATTTTAAAAAAAACTGGATGGGATCACAAAACGAAGAAGTTTTAAAATCAATGAATGATGAAATCTTATTTGAAATCGAGACCCTTGACAAAGCATGAGAAACCAAAGAAATTATCTTTAGGAGAAAGAGTCTTCAAACAAAATCTCATGATCAAAAAGGAAAAACTTGATTTCATTCCTCCTAATTCTAATTCAGGGATCCGAAAAAAAATGAAGATGAAATTCTGTTTGTCAAGAAAAAAAAAAGAGGGGTTTCAGGATATGAATGAAGCACATTATGTATCCTCATCATTCCAAGATCGCAGTAGAAGAATCAAGCACAGTATGTTTTTCTACATTTTGTAATGGTTTGGATTAGGTTGAGTAGGAAACTGCCTGCACTTCTCCGCACTTGCTCTTCCGTGGCACGACTCAAGCTCCCTGGTGTTGAATATTTTACAAATCTTAAACTTGTATAAGGTGACGGTCGGAGACATGCAGACCCTTCGTAGAGTGGCAATGTGGCCAAGATAGTGCGGCATGTGAAATCGAAAGCACTTGAAAAAAAAGAGATCTCGATCAAAAAAACACATCCAAAGCGATAAGCCAGTTCATATAGGACCCAGGAATGCTCCTAATAAGGTATGTATCGAAAATTCCGACGTAAAAGCACGCAAACCGTGGTCAGATCCCCAAAAAAAATCCCAATTCCGACCTTTCTCGGCACATACATCGCCAGAAGTCGGGGTTTTTCTTTTATAGGGCCGGCCCCGTCATCCTAACCGGGAATGAATGCAGTACCGGCCCCGTTCACGCACAATCAGGCATATTTGAGCATGAAGATGTGATTTCATTGCGTAAGAACAATCTTTGTGTACGTAGACAAGTATATGATGTGATAAGGTAACTCCTTTCATGTATATATAATTCTTTTCATGTATGTAGACAAGTATATGTTGGAATAATGACTAGAAAAAGAGGAAAACATCAAAACACTGAACCCACTATTCGTCTTAGGGCTGCGACCCGGCCCTGAAAGTTCAGGGCCGGCCCCGGGGCGCTGCCCGGCCTCGAGTTTGCCCGAAGGCCTCTCAGAATCGCTCGGGTTTGTCAGGGCACGCCCTGAATTTTGAGCCTCGAGGCCAGGCAGGGCCAGGCTCAAATTTACGAGCAAAATATACTCAGAGGGGGGATAATTTTGTATTTCCAATCCATAGCAGCATTCAATAAAGGTGATAAACTAGACTAGACTTTAAGATCCTAGTTAAAACAAATCATAGTTGTGTATAACAAGTTTTATCGTGTATAAGAAGTGAAAAGATAAAAGGAGAAAAAGATAGGAAAACGATTTAAAAGCCTATCATAGAACAGACACGTTTACTTCTTGGATAATACCTTTTTCCAGCTTTTGAGGCAGACATGAGCCTCAAGGTTAGTGGGAGTGAAAGATGCTCGGTGATCATTCATCACCCTCAGAGCGTGAGAAAAAGAACTTTCAGAAGGAGCGCTTGTTGCAGGGACTGCAAGCATTGCCTTCGCCATGCGCGCCAAGTTGGGCCAGTGACGACGGGAAGTTTCCCAGTAGGCAAGGGGTTTGCGGGATTCATCCTCTTGAGGGGCGGTGAGATATTCCTTCACCTTGTCTTCAATAGGAACAGTCTTGCGTCGTTTGATAAAGTGTTGAGGTCGGTCATGGGTGAAAGTTTCTTCGGGTTCGACAATCTCGATATCAGGGTCAATAGGTGGTTTGAACTTGCTAGCATGTTCAGTAAAGTACGCCACTAGATCCTCAGGTCCCCAGCCAAGCGACTCCATAGTTTGGGCTTTGAGAGCGTTAAGTTTGAGACGAGGGTCTAAAATAGCAGAGCAAACGTAGACCGCTTTCTTCTCAGCGGCCTCTTGATATTGAATAATCTTCTTTATCATAGGCATAATAGCCACTTTGAGTTCCTGGCATTTAGAATCCGCCCACGCCTAGTAAAGTATTCATCTCATCAGTATAAAGATCAAAAGAATCATTAGATTAAAAAGATGAAAGAAAAAAAAACTCACACTTTCAAGCTTTGCAACGAGCCATTGATAGTCGGGCATAAAAAGAGAGAAGGTTGGATATTGGTGACCTTCAATAGTTTCAGTCACAGCAGCAAGTGGCGATAGGAATTGTACTAAGTTTTCCACTAAGGCCCACTCATTGTGGTCGAGTGAGAAGCACTCAAGCGCTGGATTACAGTTGAATTGGTATTCCAAAACAACTCGAAGTTCAACAAACCGGGCGAGGGAGGCGTGAGTCGAAGACCAACGTGTCGAGACCTCATGAACCAAGCCGACCTTTCTTTCCAACTTGGCACAACTAGCAATCGCATTGTCAAGGGAAGTTTTGAGCTGACTTGAATGTTTAATTTTTTTGTGAAAGCCTCGGATACGAGTTAGGATGCTGGCTATCTCGGTGTTGGAGGTTGGCTCGATGAACAAAGGAACTGAAGATGAATTTTGGGGTATGCTGGGATCCAAGGCATTAATCGGTGCAGTTGGAGTCTTATGATCAAATACCGCTAAACCAGCTTTAGCCACCAGGTTAATCACATGAGCAACGCATCCGTGAAGGTTTTGGGATGCGTCGAATTGAGGGATCATAGTCGAAAGAGCTTGACCCATCGTCGTATTATTCGACGCATTGTCGGCAGTTATACAGTACAGACGTTCAGTAATGTGGAAGGAGTTGAGGATATGCTTGAGGTGGCAAGCGAGATTGGTTCCTGTAAATAAAGGTGAACAAAACAAATTAATTAAACTTATATAAATTCATAAAGAAAAGCTAAAGACTTGCCTGTATGAGGTCCATCGATGGGCTTCAGAGCCAACGTGATCCCTTGAATCTCGAAATCTTCGGAAATCCAATGTGCGGTGACACCAAGCATTGCTATGTTGGTGGGAGAGGTCCACCCATCGCATGTGAGACTGATATGGCTGACTTGGGATAACAAACTGGTGATTGCCGCTTTGGTTGATCGGTAGGTGTCTAAGATTCCATCGGTAACAGCGGTTCGTTTAGAAAGCAAAGAGAACGACGCGGGATTGACCATATTGATGATCTCTCAAAATTCGGGTGCATCGACGAAACAGACAGGAACCTCTCGGTTAACTACTAGGCGGATCAGTGCCTCCTTGAGGTTTGCTCTGTTGAGCGGTTTGACCTAAAGCAAACAAACACAATAAAAAAAAGTCAGCATTAAAGGTTTGAAGAGTAAAGGAAATGGTGAAAAGAAATGAAACGAGTTGAAGTAAAGAGAAAGATGAAACGAATAGAAACCCCAAATTAACTTACCTTGACAGGCAGTCCGTCAACATAAAACGCTGCGACAGTAGGTTGTTCGGTTTGAATTGGTGGAAGAATGTGATGGGCGCGGTCAAGGTGTCGGATCATTGACTTGGTACTCCCATGCTTGTTGAGAGCCAGAGCCTTACTGCAGATCCCAGTATCTTGAGCATCTTCGTCGCCGCCTGTCGCATCGATGAAACCCTTGTTTGCTCGGCAAACATTCTTCATTTCGCTATTGACTTCTTCCTGGACAAAGTACTGCCAGACCCAGGAAGATCGGGCAGTGCTGGTGGTGTCAGAAGCAGTTTCAGAAATCGAATCGGAGGGAGCAAGACTGGAAGATGATAAGACTGTGCGACGGAGAGTAGATGATCTGGTCACGGGAGTGGATGAAACGGACATAGTGAAATAGGAATATAGTTGATCTTCGATAAGCAATTGAAAAAGGGTATATATTAAGATGGAAATAGGGTATAGGAAGTGTCAATCTGGAGTCTGGATAAACACAATTGATCGGAGACGGAGATCCTATGACATAATGATCTTCGTGAGAGGGTTTCAAGTGAAAAAATGTCGGGCGCCCCGGGCGCCCGACCCGGCCGAGACGCCTCAGGGTCATTTGTGACTATCACCACGTTAGGTTTCCGCGCCCCGGGGCGCGGACCGTAGAGCTCTGTGAGATCGACGGGCAGACTCGGCCGGGCAGGGCCGGGTCCGGGTCGCAGCCCTAATTTGTCTTCTTCAATCTGCATCTGTAGCTGTCACGATGATTGGACGTTCTTCAATGAGGCGCAAGGCCTTGTTCATGATGTCATTGAGCAGCGGCATGATTTCTAAGCTTTTCTAAGATTTCTAAGTATGTTTATGTGTGAATATTTGTGTGAAGCCTAAAACTTTGAAAATGAAGTTGAGTGGGATGTGGGGTTTGGTGGTAAAACGTGGTAAAACGTGGTAGAACGTAACTCAAGTGGTGATACACGGTGATAGACACTTAATACTTAATGACTGGTTGTACTACCTTTGCTAAATAGGTTGACCGGGTCGACCGCACAAGAGAACAGAAGAGAGGCCAAATTTGGCCGCAGTCTGCTGCGCAGCTGACCCAAATCAAATTCCGGAATCCGGTGCACCCCGGAGACCGGAAAATAACAGGTTCCCAGTTTCTCATCTCAACCCTGGACACCCTTGATTCCACCCCACCTCGTCCTCACCATCACATCTCATCTCCGCCCTTCCTTTTTTCAGTTCACATGCCATATCGTTATTATTCGGCCGATATCAAAGTCCTGGCGGTGATTTGGCGACTCCGAGGACTTCCAAAGTCCATCATTCGACGCCGACTGAAAAAGCCAATTTCTGAACGTTCATTTCGACGATGGATGGAACTTTACCGGCAAACTCGAGCAGTCATACGAGATCCTTATTACTATCAGCAAAGGGGTCGACGCCGAGTGTTGAACAACAATGATCGACAATTCATGGAAGGAATCATTGATGAACATCCATCACTTTTCTTGGACGAGGTGCGGGAAAAACTTTACAATGCTCACGGCAAGATGCCCTCGAAAAGTACCATTCAACTTGAACTTCGATCTCGCCTACTTATCAGTTTGAAGAAAGCCGCCGTGAGCAACGTTCGGAAGAACATCTGGGCTAAACTCCAATGGATGCGAGAACACATGAACATTCCCTCCCATTTTATGGTGTTTACTGGTGCGTTCATTCCCTTATCTATCTCAATGTCTTCATTTATTCATTTATTGATCTTGGTATTTCCTACTTGGACATGATGACTTTTGGATAGATGAAATCTCAGGACTCTCAGGACTATTGTTTTCTTTTCTCACGTTTAATCCTGTTTAATACTCCTGCGTACCCAGACCTAGCCCTACCTAGCCCTATTTTTCCCCCTAAAATTCAGCCAAAATCCGACATTTTACGATACAAACATTTGGGCAAAAATAGCCAATTCCGACGGTTTTCGGCACAAACATAGGTCAAATTCAAGGCCAAATTCCGACATTTTTGGGCACAAACCTTAGTAGGAGCATTCCTGGGTCCTGTTCATATCATCTTCACTTTTGCTCTGAATGATAACCTTATAGCTAATCATTTGCTCATTGTTTGTTTCAAACAAACAATGCAAACCCGGCTGCAATTTATGTACCTGTCCAATCTCAACTCCAAATACCTTAAGTTCCATGACAATACCAAGAGATCTGAAATAAAAAAATCTGAACCTCGGATTGTTAAAATTCCCTTCTTATATTCGATATTTAAGACACTTCTCTAGTCGTCTCTACATGTATGATACATATACCTTGTTCAGGCACGTACTGCAATGTGGAAGTAAGCCATACACACTTTTCTAAAGAACCATAAATACCTAAATCTTTTCTTAATTGCAATTTCCAACAAATGACTACATGAATTTCAATACCCAATTTTTCACCTGAAATTTGAATCATTTTACATGAACATTCATTGAAAAACCAAAAAAAAACAGTAAACTAAATGCATAACAAGTCTAATATGAACTTCTTTAAAGAAATCTTGAACAAACAGATCCTTAGGAAGAAGAAAAACCCTAAAATCAAATCTTTCAATGTATGAACTGAATAAAGAATCATTCAATTTGATTCACTAGTGATAAACTGTGATTTCCACATATCTTGGAATCCCAAAAGAAGTTTGATTCATTTCCAATTCAAGATTAGTCATCAAATCCATTCAACCCCAAGAAATCAACTTCAAAGTTTGGAAGCTTACCTTGATAAATTCCACCTTGAACTTTCAAAAGTTCATCATGACTACCTTGTTCAGCCACTCTTCCATCTTTCAAAACGATAATCAAATCTGAATCTGATATAGTCTTAAGTCTACAACACAAATCCATCCATCAATTCATTAGTAATTCATCAAAAAAGAAGTTCCAAGTATTTCAAGATGGATCAACTTACCTGTGTGCAACAAATACACTAGTACGCTGTTTATCTAACAAGTTTTGTATAATGTTTCTCATCAAATCCTGTTCAGTATAAATATCTAATGCAGAGGTCTAAAGCAATGATATTACAATCCACAAAATGATCTCTTCAATCATCATTTTCGAAAGAAGAAGCTTCAAGTTTGACTCACCGCTTCATCAAAGAATAAAATTGAAGGATTCTTTAACATCAATCTCGCAATTGCCAATCTTTGTCTTTCACCTCCACTCAACATCAATCCACGTTCTCCAACTTCAGTTTTCCATCCATTAGGTAATTGTTCAATCGTTTTCTCAAGTTTGGCTAATCTAGCTACCCGTTTGACTTCTTCATCACTTGATTCAAGATTCCCATATCTAATATTATGTAAGATATCTGAGTGAAACAAACTTGTGTCTTGTGGTACGACTCCTATATGTGATCTCAAACTATTCAAATTGACTTCTCTTATATCTTGTCCATCAATCAAAATTCTACCTTCTTGAACATCATAAAATCTAAAACATAATCTAAAGACAGTAGATTTTCCACAACCTGATGGTCCAACAATCGCTACCTTTTTACCAGCCGGAATCACAAATGATAAGTTGGTAAAGATCGGCCTTGAAGAAGAATAACTAAATGAAACGTTTTCAAATCGAATCTCGCCCCCCTGAGTCAAGCGTAATGGTACGGCGTTTGGTTTATCCTGAAAAGATTCATTATAATGTTAGCAGGTGCAGTTGAGGATAGAATTGTGATAAACTTCCCCTACCTTGATGATTAATCCTGTTTGCTGCAAGTCAAACAAAGTCTCCATATCTATGATACTTTGCCTAAGCTCTCGATAAACAGATCCTGAGGTGATCGAAAACGTAGCATGAGCATATAATCTGATAAATCATGATCCATTCTTGATCATTTAAAAGTCACGCACGCACCAAGAAAATTTAATGGTAAACTAAGTTGGAAAACCAATTGGTTGATCATCACCAGATCTCCAACAGTCATAGTACCATCAATCACAGATTGAGCAGCTAAATACATCATACCAGTCAATGCAGCTGAAAAAATCACATTCTGTCCTGTATTCAAGAAGGCTAAGCTTTTATAAATATCAATCGAAGCTTTCTCATGTCTTTCGAGTGCTTGATCATATTGTTGAATCTCAAACTTTTCATTATTGAAATGTTTGACTGCTTCATAATTTGTTAAAGAATCAATTGAAATGCTAGCTGCAATGTTATCGGCTTGATTGGCTCGTTTCCTGAATTGTAATCTATTGATGAGAAAATTGATGATGATTAGATGATCCATTCATGGATTGAGAGGTATGGGTGGTATGCTAACCGCCATGCTGTAGTCCGGATGGTGAACCATGTATAGGCCAACATCGTCATCAAGGTGATACCGGCATAGCTCCACCCAAAGTTATATGTCTATTGAACATGAAGGTATCAGCAACAGAGGATCTGTTGTAGTACCAAGGTCCAAGACATATGAGACCAGAAAGACTTTCATCGACGCACGAGGATTCCGCAAACAATTCCGATCTCCAATGCAGTTGGAAAGACATGGAAAACTATCGAAGAAAGCATAAATGATATACCTCTAATCGAATACATGAATATTTCATTAGAACATTTTTAAATCTGTGTGATGAAGAACGTTTGATGACTCACTTTGTTCCACGATCTATAGCTCGAGTGAGTCCACCTGTTTGATTCTGTAGATGAAAGCCGACATCGACATTGAGTAAATGAGTAAAGACTCCTCTAGCAACCCTTCGAATAGCAGATTGAGCGACATTGGTGAAGATCGCCGTTCGTAATTCTGAAAAAACGGTAGCCAATATACGAGCGAGACCATCTAGGTAGTAAATGTGTGGCATGAATCGTTGAGTGGGTTTTGCGAACAACTAGAGCACTGACATCCAGCAATTACACTCCCTGCAATCATCCAAACACCCTGGGTTGTCGTAGGATCGATAGGTATTGATAGAGAATCTATGATTTGCTTAAACATAAACGGGACTTGAACGTTAAGAATCTAAGCCATGGACATCATGTCAGTTAGACCAAGACTTTGTGAATCACTTATTTCTCGTAGACACTTACCTTGCTACCAGTTAACAAAAGCAAAGCTGACACCACACGTAGTTTTGTAGCTCTGTCATCTTTAGGCCATATATTGGGAATGAGTTGAGCCAATATCTTCCAGTCTCGACGTCGATCCGTCTTTTTGGTCTCGCCTTGTGGCGAAATCGGCGAGCCTTCAGAAGGCTTGTCTGATAAAAAATGTACGTGTGAGTCTCTCGGCCGATGTTTAGTCGATGGATTCTAAATCATACATGCCTACCGTTTATCTTGCTGGATAATGATCTAAGCTGAGGAGAGATTCGTTTGAAAGCATTCCCACGAGCGTACGAGTACTTTGGAAAACACTGGATTGAGGCTCCATGACTGATGTGGTTGAAATGCCGAAGTTTCTTATGAGGAACCATAGCGGAACAAGCAAATCAATACAAGCAGATGATTTGAAGATAGTTGAGATTCAAAAAAAGTACCAGTTGACTAAACCCAGTTGATCGCAAGACGCTACTCTCCAGACTAAAGAATCTTGATCTAAGTTTGGCATCCTGAACACCCAAGCATGGATTATACCGCAAGCTACTTTGAAGTGATAACCGTCCAGGAAAGTAAAACATCGTGCATGTACGCCAGTATGAGTTTGCGTGTTCAACTTCAATGGACTGAGATGTTGTAACGATTTCCTTTGCGTATTTGAAAGCCCTATCTTATCATGGGTTTGATTAACATTGATTGAATTCAGTTGGTCGAAGGATTCGTGTGATGGTGTGGTGATCTGCGTCTCAACGCAGGCCTTGATCACATTCCCTGCAGATCAGCTGCCAACCCGATTGGTCCCGTCCGCTACAGCAGTATTTGCGGTCTGGGCGCGGTACTCGGCCTGCGTGTACGGGTCGACGAGCGCGCATGGTTTCTTTTCTGACTCATCAGTTCTATTTCATGTTATTGGGGCTTGGTGGGTTCTGGTGTTCTTGTCAAACTATATAAGCCTACATAGTTTTGGTGAGGATTGAAAACTGGGAAAAGACACGATAATTGGTTTTCAGGAGTGTTATGCTCTAGAGCATGCAAAAAAAATCTTTCACTGCTCAATGCCAGAATGTGTACTCAAGAACAGTAACCTTGTCTGATTAATGTTGATAAGCCTGTCTGCTTGAGGTTGCAACACTCATTAGGATGACGGTAGATGTGGAAACACTTCAAGTGACGTGTTACAGTCCCACATTGGATTTTGAGAATCATTGGAATTCTCCAATCTAGTGAAACTTGATTTGTTTAGTGATCATGATAAGGCAATTCGGTACCCAAATCCAATGATTTTTGATCATAGATTGACATTCCAAAAAATAGTATTTACAAGGTATTGAAAAATGAATGAAAAGTATTTGTAGATAAATTTTTTTGTTCTTAGAAAACGTGTCCTTTTGGGCATGAATACACATTCAACAACAAAAGAGTCTCATGATCAAAGGTAAGATATGATACCAAACACACAAAATACCAAGATGTGATGTTATACAAGCGGTAATCTTCACTCCTTTAGATAACAAGAGCTAAGCGTTGAAAGAAAGTATGATTGTCATACAATGAGTCCATGTGAAGTGATCAGACTAAATAATTTGAAACACATCCACTCTGAATTCTTGAATAAATGAATGAAGAAAAACAGATGAATAAGTTAAGATCAAGAATGGAACTTCAATCGAGGATTTATTCTGATGGGGTTTCTCGTTGACCTAAAAGGAATTGTAAGAGTTGTAAAGCTGCTTGTGGTTGATCCTGTGGAATCATATGACCAGCTTTGTCAACTTCAGCAAGAGTGAATCCTCTCTCAGTTCTCTGAAAATCGATATATTCAAAGAGAAATCAATTCTCTATCATATCTTTTTCAAACTCAATTCGATTGACGTACGAAATTTCCAAGATGACCTTGACCTTTCACCATGAAAGGAACTGTCAGTGGTTTCGACAATCCTTGAGCACCAGACCATGTCATATTCCTATTCATTCATTCATCAAGATGATCAGGTTCCAATAACCCAAAAAGATATTTTGAAAAAAAGCTCGACGAACTGAACACCAAGTTGTGATCCTTCTGAAAAGATTCGAAAGTCCCAAAGCCCATGAGCAAGTAAAGTGCGTTTGCTTTTTTCAATCACTCGAGGATAAACAGTCCATGCAGGTGGTTGTGACCCGTCTCCGTGCGGGAAAATCTGTCCGAAAGATCCTGGTGAGCGATTTATTTCAAGTAGTGATAAACAGTGAATATCTATCATAAGAATGGTTCAGAGAAATTGGTACATTGTTTGAATTACTACACTCGGTCCATTTTTGAGTGCCTTTAGGAACGTGAAATGCCTCTCTGACATCTTGGCGTGAGAAGTAATCTTGATCGAGCGGACCAGTGTAATTGCTTCGGTCATAGATATTACTGTTTCATCAAAACCCGTTATATTAGTTATTATGTTGTGTGTTGAAAGTAGCAAAAGTAAACCAACTAAAAATTGAAATTTCTGTTTGGAGATGACGATAACAAAAAAAGTATCTTCAGTTTCAAGATATGTGGAGTAACCTTTCGAATGATTTCTTCGACCGCTATACTCACGTAATGTTTTCAAGAGCGAGAACGATCTGATGATATTTGAAGAAAGTCTGTCAACTTCTGAGCTCAATCTGGAGAACACAGTGAGATAAAGCTTACTGCACTGTACATATCGCATGTCATGTTGTAGGCGTTGGTTTCGAGGCTTCCTGGCTATACAAGAGTCTAATGTTAGCCAAGGTCCCACCCAAGCTAGTTGAAGACAAATTACCAGCGGTTCTTCGAAAGGTCCAGGAGGTGGGTATGTCAAGTACTTTTTTTATAGAGAGACTAAGAATCAGCTTTGAAAAAAGGCCACATGGTCCACGTAGAAAGCATTATGTGAGCTGAATACTCACTTTTTCAAGGTAAGCATCAAACCCGCATGAGTGGTGCAAGTCAGCCAGATGTGCCCAGAAGGTCGCATTGAATGGGAATGCATCTTGGTGCTTCACGTGCGATAAAAGAAAATCTTTCGTCACTTTGAGAAGTGGGAAAATCAGAGCTCTGTAAACCTTACTTACGCGTTTGACAAATGGGTAAGCCGGTATTTCGAAAGCGAACACTCCACTAGACGCCAAAGATGGGATAGCTTCAGTCCTGAGCACATTGCAATTAAAGTAAGATTTACGTACTCGGAAAAGACCGGGTCAATAAGGAATGAACCTTGTAGGGAGAGGGCGAGTGCGGACTGATGGGCGTAGATGTAGTCACAGATGTAAGGTACATAGTAGCCTGCGTATGACTCGCCGGAGACTGTAAATCATAGAATAAATGTATGAGAAAAAAAACTGAGACCCAAAAGGCAACAATGAATACGATTCCTGACCCCAGAAGTTAACATTTTTCATTTCCTCAAAAACCTATGAGGATGGGGAGATCAAGATGAGAGTCAGAATCTGACCAAACCTCTGAGTTGATCAATGGCGATGAAAAACTTACCTCGACAAAGTGTTGTAAGAATCCAAAGATAGGTTTAGCAATCTCAATCTCATTATGGATGGTTACATTTCCTTCACTGAAACCGACGGGAGCAGGATGTTCGATGTAAAGCACGTTCGAAACCGTGTTCCATGAGCTGAAAAAAGAGATTTCAGCTATAAATGCAAAGATTTTTTCAGTCAGAATGATTTGAGCTCAACTATGGATTCCGTGTAATTTTTTTGGCCAATGTGAGCTAAAAAAACCGGGATAATCAATTAGTTGAAACTATTCATAAAATCGATTTGTCTTAACAAATTTCCTCACCGGACCATTTTCCGAAGTTGCTCCTATCAAAGACGAACAACCTGGTCCACCATTGGTAAACATAGTCAAGTCATTGGATCCTACTTCAGTTTGCGATGGTAGAAACCAGAAAAATAATTTGGTAGGCGATTTAGGATCATTGGACGTGGGTAAAACACCAGCATAACTGTCATACCAAGGTGATCATGGAGTCAATTCGCTTGTTAGAGATTTCATCAACTTTAGATTTCACCTCAAACTTACCTATCTCCAATATCAAAATCAACCGATGGAAGTTTCTTTCCATCTACCAAAAACTCTTTTGCGCGGGCAGATTTGAATTGTCGTTTTCCGCCAGAATACGCAGGGGCTCTTGTCACATGAGGCATCTTGCTGCTCACTTGAAGTGAGCTTGACAGACATGTTAAAAAAGAGATAAAGTACAAGTTGAAAGGATGCATATTGCTAAAATCCAGATAGGTAGATGCAAAAGTAAGAAATGAGCGACTATGAGGTGTTGTTGTGTTGGGCAGCCCAAAATAAGACGAGGAGCGCTCTTTTATGCCACTCCACGCCCTTGGGCTTCTCTTGCACCCTGGTAGGAGGATCGCTTGTTCATTAAACGGTACGTATGTGCCGGAATACGAAAGAATAGTCATTCTGATATGTACTTTAATACATACAGTAATTTACCAAAGAGAAGTGGCACACTCGGCTTGCTGAGTCATGGACCCCCATCGCCGTAACGAGATGGCAAGGAAATGTAATTGAGAATCCAACCCAAGCTCGAGAAGTCACCGAACCGGAATGAGTGAGCAAAACTTTCAGGTGCATCCCGATGTCAAACGTTTTCCTCAAAAGGATCTCCCCAGATTGGGCAGCGCCATTGCCGTCAAGATTAAACAGTCTCAAGAGTCAAGACGATGTTGATAGAAATTTATAGCACTTTTGAATTTGTTTTTTTTGAATACACATTTGTTCAATTAAATCACTTCTAATCACTTGCATGCTTCCACCCCATTAAAACCTCAAGGATTCGGCCGGATGTAGATCAAAGAACGGTACATAGTTTTATGGCACAAAATTGTTTATTTATCTACTCTTGCCAACAAATGACTCCTATAACAATTACGGCACGACAATTGTACAAACTCACTTTAAAATCCAAAACGATTGTGTTGCAAATCGCGTAAACCCAGATCTACATCGGTGAGCAGCGTCTTGTGATTTGTGGCAAAGTTTATCAATTGTATCATTGTGGACACTGGAATCGGAAACACGGCAAGTCAGCTTTTTTTGAACCTCTTTCAAGCCAAAAGAAAGTACGTGATTATCAATCTGACATGATGCATATATATTGATATTAATGGGCGTCTGATTTGGCTTCACCACCGAATATCAAGAAACTTTCAAGGGTAGGGATATCTTTTCAGGATAGGCGTATGACCTCATCAGTCACAACTTCTGTGTTTGGAACCTTTGAGCCGCAATGAGCAGTTTGTGGTCTGACTTTCCGATGGTGTACAAGTCATTTAAGCCCGTGTGGACGTACTGCGACGATTTTCGCGTATTCTGTTGATCATCCACAAATCGTCAAAGTCGAGGTAAAGAGGAGAGGTATACGAAATGAGGTGGGCGAATAATCAAAGGTGAGCAGGTGAAAGAATTCAAACCACGTCATAATTGTTCATGGCACATCAGCAGCTATCATCATCCTACCTTACCACAAGCTCCATCAAACCGAGCCCACCGGAACCTGTGCTGCTACAGCCTAGGCTCCAGAAGGATCTTTGTCAAAGGAACTGGTTCTCAACATGATCTTTGAGGAATAAGTGATCAGTAAAGATCATAATTGTAATGAAAAACCCTTTCAATAAACTTGATCTTTCCAATCACAAATCATTTGTAAAACCTTTCCAAATCGAACCAAGATCTCTTCAACCAAATAAAACTACTCATGTTCATCTTATGTATGTATTTATAAGCTTCTTTGGGAGTAGTTATCAAGTAACTTTCCGGCAATGACATTGTGCATATCCAAAATCGACTCATTTCACAGCTTCCTTCATACATTGTAGTATAGCTTTGTTCTTGAACTTTTCAACACTTACTGGATTCATCACTTTTCAGCCATAGACTCTTTTCGTTGGAATTCCAAAAAGAGATTTGGTGGTCCTGGATGACTCAGACCAATCAGATGCCTCAAGATGTACTGTCCCTTGTACATCAAAAAAGCTTTGGTCTCTCAATAAAAAATCCAACCTATAAAGGTGTTTCAAGTTTAATTTATTTAACATAAAATCAACATATTTTGAAATTTGGAACACCTAATCATTCAGGTGATCTGATTTTTAGACTCATAGTACTTACAAACCGTCATTTTGTTTGTAACATAAATACACAAACCCCTCAAACTTGTAAACCCCTTACATATTATTATGATCATATTGATGACCAACTCACCAAACCTCCTAAATAACTTTCCATATGTAACACATACCTTCCAAGCTTTCCTTCTTTTAAATCCCACTTCAAATCATAATAATACTTTTTTGAGAAATTCATTAAAATTTAAAATACTTCAAAACACAACAACATATACCAAAAGATTTCAATAACAAATAAATACTTAATAATATAATTGAACAAAACAAAATCCTACTTGTTTTTTTAGTTGTTAGTAATTAACTCATACAAAAAAACTTATAATCGTCACTAAAAAGACCTTATAATCAATTGAATCACCATTTGAAAATACATTTCTTTTACTTCAAAATCTTTCATTTTCATTTTCTTACCATTTCTCTTCATCTTCATACATTTCTTTCCCTTTCTTTTTCCTTTTTTCATTCGAATCTTCATTCTAATCTTCTTTTAATCTTTATAAAACACTCAGTTGGCTATTTTTTTGAAAAGAAAAAAGCAACACACATCATCATTTAGGATCAACAAATCTTGTGGGGAAAAAAGTTTACAAACTAACTTTTCTCAAAAACCCTTCACGAGTTTCAAGTTCAGATTGATTTGGATAAGATAATTGAAAATCATATCTCAAGACCAAAGTAGAAATGATCATCTAATCAACAAAAAAAATGTTTCCAAACAAAACAGAACAAAAAGTAAGATTCTGATTTACTTCAATTTTCTTTAATATATCAAGTTGTTCTTATAAACTCACTTGTAATTCCAAAATAGCTACATTCCTACCAACACATGAACGAGGTCCAAAACTAGACATCAAAGACAAAAATATTAAAATTCAAAACTTGACGTCCTTGATCTTTATACATGATAGCAAAAATCAAGTTTAGTGTAATGGAAATTACGTACCTAAATGGCATAAAAGCTTTTTCAAGTTCTTTAGCATCTGGTTCAAGCCATCTTTCCGGACGAAAGTTCCAACTAAACGAAAAAAACCACAATTTCAATACATGCACACACACACAGAGAGAGAGAGAACCAAGAAATCCATGATCACATACGGGTCTCCCCAAACCTCAGGATCATGATGAATTTCATAAGAAGGAACCGAAACAACGGTTCCTTTCTTAATGAAAAACCCTTTAAAGTTTAAATCATTAGCCATCAATCTAGGTAATCCAATGGAAGAAGTTGAATGTCTTCTAAGTCCTTCATTAATACATGCATTTAAATATTTTAAATCTTTACAATCTATAAATTCAATCACTCCTATTGAAGGATTTTCGAATTTTGTATTTAGTTCTTCTACTAGTTTTTTATGAACGTTTGGATGTTTAACTATCCACCAAAGAATTGCACAACTTGAATTCGAGCTGGGAAAATAAACCAAAAACAAAACCATAAAGGCAGAACATCATCAGTCTCTTGCTGATACTTTAAACGGATAGAGATTTAAAGGAAGCATGAAGTTTACGTTGTGTCACTTCCTGCTATTAATTGGGTTAAAGCTTCGGCCTAGAGGTAAAGTTCCCATTCAATTTTTCATGAGCCTCTTCATCTTTTATGGTTCTAGATGTTCAAAATACTCTATGCTTACCGTTAGTTCATCCCGACCCATCGGCTGTCCATTTGCGTCTGTTCCTTCTTGTAATCGAGCCAAAAGATCTTTTCGATCTTGAGGACCTCCTTCTAAACGCTTCTTGACTCGATTCCGAGCAATCTATTTAATCCAAAAGAAATCCATTCATCCAAGCACTCATCAACAAGTTATTTTCATCACCATTTCTCTAACAGTCAGGCTTATCAATCAAGTAATCACCCAAATAAGATAAGAAATATAAAAAGACATTTAGAAACAAAACGCTTACACCAGCTAAATTTGACACACTAGTGGCTCCACGTGCAAACCAAGGATCGAGATAAGGAGTGATTGGGCGAATCCAAGAAGGAAGACAACCTTGAGTCATACTATATTCACCACGTTCATTTAAGATTTGAACAGCAGGTAAATGTAAAACTTGATCATGACCATCATCTACTTCCGCATAATCTGCAGCACGTTGGATCATCCCAAACGGTTCACCAAATGCTAAATCACCTATTCCAAACCACAAAAAAAAACAAAATCAATCTTTTCAAAAGTTTTTCTTTTTTGGAAGATTTGAATGAAGAATTTTACCAATTATATCGAAAGCTAAATAATTAAACCAAGGTAAAGAATCAAATTCATACCAATCAATCGATGGTTTTTCAACTTGATCACATAATCGATCCCATTGAATTAAGAATTGATGAAGAGTAGAAGAAATATAAGGTTCGAATTCTAATACGTTCTTTTGACTAAACGTATTTGAAATTAACTTTCGTTTACGAGTATGATCGATCCTATCTCTTGTATTCTAAATCAAAAAAATCAAAAAAAAATCAGGAAAAAAGTTGGATTGGGTTAATTGAGGAAATCCTTTGAATTTTGGAGAGGAGAACTCTTACAAATAAACCACGATGGATCGAAACAAATGCGTCATCTTCAGTTTGAGAATCATACAATCAAATCAGTCTTTGGATCTTATCATTGATCAAGACCACTTTAAAAGATTTTTTGATATGTAAACTTCACTCACAAAATTCACTTTTAGTATTTCCATTTCCATGTCCCAAAACAGGTTGAATAGCATCTTTATCAGCAATACTAATTTCATCAGGAGCTATCCTAATCACTCGACCTACAAAAACCAAAAATTCACTTTAAAAGATCTTAATGGAAATCAAAACTTGAAAACTTACCAAACTTAAGATGAGCTTCATGAATCGACAGATATCGTTTTCCATTTCTTGAAACTTTAGCCAACCAAACCCTAGAAAACTTAGCCAAGAATGGACCTGGATAAGACTTAAGTGAAAAGTAATCAAAATAATAACAAAACAAATGATAAAGAATTATTGAAATTGGTAAATAAAATATGAACAAGTTGATGATGAAAATCAACATGATTTTTTCTTGCTTGCTAGTCTTTATATGGTGAATTGAATTAATTCTTTCTGGATCAAAAATCTGTGTCTAGACTCCCGAGAGAAAGTGTCTTATAAACCAGTTCTCGATTGATATGACTGTTTCATCTAATGCTAATGTTAATTCTAATGTAGCTAGTCCATTCAAACATATCTTATACTTGATTGCTGTGAGATTAACATTACTAATGATCTGATGATGATCTGTACCAAACTTCATGCAACTTTCAAACAACACTTCGGATATGCAAGTCACATGTTTCTTAAAATTCCATGATTTTCCTTTTCTCAAACGAGCATCTTTACACTTACAAACAAATTTCGTAATTTGGAAAGTTTTGAAAACCGTTTCAAGTTCAAATAAACTGTCCAAGAATACCATAAGGGGCCAGGGCTCAGTGTCAAATTCAATAAGATGTCTATCTATGTCCTTACTCTTTAGCATCACATCTGGAACTCTAACTCATCATTTTGGTTTCCAAATGTTTCCTTCCAAGACTCTGCCATGAAAGATACGTCTGAAGAACTGAAGATGTACAACAACGTTATCCTTACTGTTCAGAGCGTACAAGCCTCAGTTTAAGCCTTGCGGGGATATGCCATTTCAGGCATATGACATCACAAATATCCTTCCTCTTTACTTGAAATAACTGAATCTCAAGAAAACCAAGAAAGCTTTAAACTTGACTTTTTTACTTTTTTGGATCTTCATTTCAACAGTTCAACTTGTTGATGAAAAAAAAACTTACGTACATAACGGTATAAACTCTTTACAATTAAAAATGTTATGATAATGAAAAAGAATGATACATAAAACTTACATTAAAGAACCCGTCTTTCCAGTTCAATGCATTAAGAACCCAAAAAGATCTTTTATAATGATAAAAAAAAGTTTAAGAAGAACAAGAACATTGAAATCCAATCCACTTCCGATCACCCACTTCCAAAAACCTTTGAACCCTTGGATCACTTTCATCAATCTCTCCATTAATCAAACCTAAGATCAGGTTGATCAATTTAGGATCTTGGATGATTTCTTCCAAGATCCATTGTCTAAGTATAAACTTGGGATTCAAATCATTTACATCAATCGAATGATTTTCTTGTTTTCTTTTGATAAAGTTGTGGATCCAATCTTTCCATCTTTTGAAATCTTCTTGTGGGTTTTGGTTTTGATTTGGATTTGAAAAGGGTGGGGTTGATAGTTCAGTAATATATGTGGTTAATTCGGTTTCGGTTTCGATTGCATTCGGTTTCTCTAAGTTAGGTAAATGGTTTAATTTCTTGATCGTATTCGAATAATCTAATTTATCTTTCATTAAATCCAATAAAGGTTTAATGATTTCTTTATGATCGGTTGGTTTTAATTCTTCTAAACCTAATCTCTAAAACCGTTTTTGTGAATCAGATTCAAAACAAGTCAGTTCTCAACTCAACTCAAAAAAGAAAGAAACTTAATTCATCACCAACTTTAATCATGATAGAATCATATTGATGTAAATAAATTTCATCAAATCCATCCAAGACTTTCAATACCTCAACCTGACCGATCTCCTTAACCTTTTTCCTAAATTCTAAATCATCCTTCATCAATTCCACAAACTCTTTCTTCTCAAGATCATCTTTTTGTAATGTTTCAAATCCGATCCATTCATTCAAACTTTCACCTAATTTCTTTAAACTAAACTTAATCATTTCAGGTTGGGATTTGAAATCATATCGTCCATTCTCATCTGATTTATTACAAATATGATTCGGATCATAGATGTCCATGAATGCATATGGTCCAAAATCAATGGTGATCCCTAAGATACTTACGTTATCTGTATTGATCACTCCGTGCATCTTTTGAATGATGAGCAAAGATCAAATTCAAATCCAAATCCATCAGTGAAAAAAGCTCATGTTGGGTACCGAACAAAGAGATAAACGTACGAAACCCCATGCTTGCCAAGCAGCTACCATCATAGCATTCCGAATCATAATCTCTTTAAAAACTTTTAATCCCAGATCGGGTTGATCTTTAGAAAACCCAAAGACTTGAACTCCCACAAATCGGATTAAGTCCATCAACTTCTTCCAATCTTCTCTAAACCTAAACAATTCGAAATTCCCAATCCTAATCCAACTAGGTGCTAACCTACTAACGATCGCTCCACTCTCCATGCTTTCACGTTGGACTTGTAGGTTTGATAAACTGATCAAACTCATCGATCTTGAGGTAGGAAATCCATAGAGCGAATGAGAAAACTCGGTACCTAGATATTCACGAATCGAGGACCGTAAGACGGCTAATCCATCTGCGAATCTTGAGAATGGAGTTCGACCGGCTCCTTTTAATTGGAGTTCAATTTTGGGTTTGATTTGATGAGTTGAAGGAACAGTAGTTAGATTGAAAGCTTGGTTAAGGATTGATTCGGTGGTCGGAGTCGAAACTGAAATTTCAACCCAAACACATCAAGTTGACCTTCAGGCTGAATCTTGAGAGAACATCAGAAGAAGAAAGAAAACAAAGAAACGTACGAATCGAAATCGCTCTACCATCACCTAATTGACCAGCAAAGAAACCGAATTGATGACCAGCATAAGCTAAACTCCAAGGACCGAATCCTTTTTGTTTAATCAAATCTTGGTCCTCAACTTCTGTAAGATGTGAAGGTTTTGATGATCGATCAACAGTTTCAGGTAATCTACCTAATACGATCTCACCACTCAAAACTTTAATTAATTCGATTCGTTCTTCACTCGATTCATTGATTCCAATGATTAAGTTTGGTAAACAATCTTGAATAGATTTATAAGATAAACTTAATAATTCGGGTGAAAGGGATTGAAAAAGGGTTTGACGAGCTTGACTTGTGAAACCTAGAGGAGTTAAAGATTCATGAGAGTTTGATGTGATTTTAGTTTGAATTGGATGATTTGGATTAGGTTCGAATTGTGATAGATATGATTCAATTTCATCTAATGAAACTGATTCTGGTTTTGATTGAGGATTTAAATAAGTTTGTGGAATTTGATATGGAAAGGAAATAGGTAAAGGTGTTACAAAACTAAAGGTAGCATTAACTTGACGAGATCTACGTAAGTTTGATGGTTTGATTGAAGTTGAATTATTGGATTGATGAATTGAAAATAGTTTTGAGATGGATGGTACGATTGGATCAGATGAAAGATAATGAATGATTGAAGTAGAGATTGGTAAGTTTAAGATTGATCGATTGCTAAGTTGTTTCATCTTGAATGAATGAAGTTAGTTTGATTGGTTAAAGAGTTCATGTGTGATGAAGTGTGCTTCTGGTTTGAGTTGGTTATCTTTGATAAATCGTTGATAGTCGATTGCTGTTCCAGATGAATGTCTGATCATCAGTTGTTGCTGTTGGAACATTGCTGTGGCGGCCCGTGGTAAACCGGCATCCGGCTATTAGGGTATACAAAGTTGGTTCTGGAAAACACAACAGCGGTGTACAAACCTACAACCCTAACTTAACTAAGTCCCTCAGTCAGACACTTGATCCTCGCAGGCTTCGGGTGTCTGTGGAGGGACTTATGTATTACCGGCCGGGCCTGGTGAGCGAGCAGGAGAATTCTAACACGCCTTTAGGATTATTTTGGCGGAGAGTTTTTTTGGCACCTCATATTCTCCCACTTCCCCTCAATCAACCACCGTGCTCTTTTCTACTGAAGCTACCTGTGCTTCTTCCCAACAAATCTGCCTATTCATATTTTCTGAAACTCCCTCTGACCCTGCTCTAGTTTGCAAAGTAGTATTTCAAAATCTAAATTTGGTTTAGGGACAAAACCCACCTTCATTTTGAAATAAAACCAAACCATTTTGGATGTTGGTCCAAAACCCTTAACAAATTTGTGTTCGTCTGATCAACGTCGCCTCACGTTTTATATTTTTGGCAACCACCAACCCTTGTCGTATATCAAAGTCATGTCTCAATCTCAGGATCCATCCGGAGATTGTGTTGGTCCAGGCTCCTCGCAAGTGTCTTTCAAAGCAATACAGCGTATTCTCCTATGCATAAGCTCTAATCACCTTAATATAAAAAGTTTTATCAAAGCTTTTCTGTCGTCGCAAAAACCCGAACTGGTGAAAGCTCAACACGTATGGGGCTCCAGTGCAGGCCTGCCTTCAACCGAGAGGATACTGTGCAAAATACGAGATGTTCTATTGAAAACAAAAGTTGGTCGTAAGTTTTGGGAAGAATGGGTATTATCGCAGGTTGGTCTGCGCATGGGTTAAGATTATCCTTATTTGCAAGCCGTCAAGCTGATGGTTTTTGTGGATGTAGGCAGTTTTATTAGTCAAGAAACAGCATCCACCATGCGGCAAGGTGCCCAAAGGCTTCTACATTGATGCCTCGGAAGTGACACCATCGGATTTCGATCATGGCATTGTATATGAACGAGACATGACACTTGAAAAGTTGATGCCGTTTCTGTTCAATTTGATACAATCAACCTTTACTCATAGTGAGGTGGAACGAGTACGCGAGGCGACCGTACGAAAGGCGCGATTGGAACAAAAACAGGCTGGTGGCAAGACTCCGTTGGAAACACGATCAGCTATTGATGAAAACATTGACATCAACTCAGATGATGAATCTGAAGAAAACATCCAACCTGGATCCCTTCCTGTTGCGAGTCTTGGTGGACCTGGTGGTTCAAAAGAGGATGAGGAATATATTGACAGATTGAATGGCTACGTCTATCGCAAGTCAAAAGATCATCAAGAGAATCGAAAGACTCGACATCGCTCAGTAAGTGTTACGTTTCATATTACTGGTCCGGACATTCAATAAAATTTATGATTATGATCACTGATTGTGTACCAATTATATCTAGGTTGCACGAACTATTTGTTCCATGATTTCAAATGTCTGTAATCGACGTGTTAACACACTCCAAGTGGAAAACGGACTCACTATGCTGGCGTGCGGCGTATCTGAACAAGTCTCAACGGTTATCTCAACTATATTGGCCTCTCGGTCAATCGGAGGACAGCAATCAATGCGTTGGAGCATCTAGGACAAGAGTTGAAGAAGAAGATAGTCGATGTCATGGGAAAGGATACTTCGCTAGCACCATTCATTACGCTGGACAACATCGACTTCCAACAACACATCCATACTTCCACTGTCGAGCGAGAGAGCACAATGTGGCATGGGTCATGGGGCTATATCCATCAACCAACAATACCAGAAGGTATTTCAATCAAGGCGGAAGATTTCACGTCTGAGAAGTTGAAGGCGATCTTGGACGAATCACAGACGAAACCTATTGATCTTGCCAAAATTCTACCGACTCCGACCGAGATTTCAGACTGGGAACTCACTCTCAAGTCGCAAATTTCAGTAGCTCTTGTCAAATATGTTGCAAAACCCATCGAGGGCAAACAAGTTCCATACCAACATCTGCCCGCTGTGCGACCCCTTCCGGCCAAGAAACCAGACATCATGATGCTCAAGATGATGTCAGCTTTGGATAACTCGACTTCAGGGGTAGGAGAGTTGTATAATTCTGTATTAAATCAGACTGGTTTGTCAAGAGAGAAGTATGCTAGTCGTGCGCAAGTCTGGGAGGGTGATTTGGGAACAGCACGTATAGTTGCAAGTGTCGTCGATGAACGAGATCCGTGTTCTAGTCCATCCGAGAGCTTTCAGCATATCCTGATGATTCTCGGCGCTGCACATGTATTATGGAATATATCTCAGGCAATCCTACTTGAGCACTGGGGCGACCATAAGGATGTGAAGGATATGGGTGCTTGGAGAGGCATAGAAGCCCTTGGCGGCAATTTTGAAAAGCCCACCAGCAAGAAAGATTTTACCGCAATGATCCGGTCAATGGAGCGGCTTCACGAAGGCTCGATCACACTTTGCATCCAGTAAGTCTAACATACCATTCTTACCATCAATTGTATCTTATTTTATGCTCTATCGCTGATATAGTTGTTGATATATGTGCAGGAGAGTGATGAATCTGGATGTTGAAACTGTAGGAAAAGAGCGAGTTAATATGACACCTGAGAAGATGAAGCTTGTTATAGATCAAACATACAATGAATATTTTGGGCCAGAGGCCATTCAGAACGCCAAGAATACCGCCGATCAGAAACACCTTTGATTTCTCCTACGACTGCAAGACTTCGCTACTGTCATTGAAGGATCTCGATCCATGTCCGCTGGAGATGTTGGACGTATGATACACGTTTGGAAACGCTGGGCTGTAATTGCTCATGGAATGAAACGTCTGAAGCACTACGCTAATTATCTTCCACGTTTGATAATATTGCTCACTCAAACATTACCTAAAGACATAGCAGACGTCATTATAGCCAACTTACTGGTTTGCCCAAGTGGGCGTTGTAGAACTTATAACCCAACAAGGGTTATACAGAGCTTAAAGAGGATAATCTACTAATAAAATGACTAGTAGAAGTTATCTAAGGACTGCTCTTCTAAAACAACACAATCAGAAAGAGCTCTGTTGTATTGAGTACTGATAAGGCACCAGAGAAATATAACTTCACACGTAATTTTAACTTCAAAAGCACACTTTGTATTACTATCAACACTGCTATAGTGTTATTCCCAATTGATAACTGAAAAAAAATAAGCAATATCTGATTGATATTATTCCCAATAAGTCTTTATGACTATAAAACTAAAGTAAATTTCTCTTTATAACTGTAATAAAGGGCGTATTTAAGTGAACAGGTACTATTAAAATAAGTTTATGATGATAAACAAAATAATAATGGCGTAAATGATAAAGAAAAAAAAAAGGGGAACAACAGTCCCAAAACCCTCTCAAAGTATATATAACAATGTACTAGAACTTTTACAATGGTCAACAGCCTCAAAACCAATCAAATCCGCCCAAAATTCCCTAAAAACCCTATGATGACGCAATGTAATGGTTTTGTTACTAATAAATGATGTAATTTTCACAGCTAAAAGTGATCAATGACGCAATAATATGATGTACAGCACTTCTTATGATGAATACAGGTGATTTTTTCCTTGTAAACTAGCTGAAAACCAATTTTTGAGATTACGAATTTTTTCAGATGTGCTCCAATTTTTGATTACTAAAGTGCATCTTGTAGCCCACGTGTTACTGATCATTTCTGACACCTACATGACCTACTTCTGATGAGTGATGAGTAAGATATTGAGTTGTGAAGTTAAGGTTTTTAGTGTTACATATGACTTGTGACTGTAAATTCGAGATTCACACCAATTCTTTATTTGCCTTATAACTTTTTACACACACCTCCGTTACTAATGATTTAAAGTTTGTACATTATGTAATCCACTCTTCTGCGTTGAATGAGCCATCTATCAACCTATTCTGACGTCATTTGACATATGTAATTAGCTGAAAACCTCCATTTTCCACGAATTTCACCCATTTTCTTCACTTTTCACAGCTACTACTATCTTTTTCTTGCTCATGTAATATGACATCATCATCTATAGCCTTAAAAATCCCGGAAAATCCTCTTGGCAACCTTAAATTCCATCACTACCACTATTACACAACCAAACTACACGTGTACCTCTTGTTTATCAACTTCGAAAAAAGTGCTTTTTTCCTAATAACTTCTGTTTCTACTTATCAACCTTGAAGATTAAAATTGTCATAGTATCATATAATGTTGTTCTTTCATATTCTAACCTCATAATACCCATAACTTTATTTTTACTAACCTAAAAACCATTTTCCAACCTTTATACCTATAATTTCGAATTTTTCTTATGTTTTTCTTTCTTTCTTTTTGTAATAAATTTGTAAGTAAACTATAATGATCTTAATATATAATGTGAAATAAAATGATGTAATGTTGACCTAATGACCAATATATAAGCCTACAAGAGCTTCAATTGATCAAAAACCTCCATTTCGAATTTTCTTTCCTGCTGAATCCTGCTAATAAACTGGTAAACTGGTAATTGTGAATTTTTTAATTGATCCCATAAATTGATCACCACATCCTCCTCTTCTTCCAAACTGCACCCAGTTTATCAATTAAACAATTCAATTAAACACTCCAAATCACTAAATTCTCGAATTTTCCTTTATTTCCAATATGGTCAACACTGTTTCACCTTCTGCAGCTTCACCTTGTGTCCAATGCCGGATGGTAAACTCCTCCTGCCACTATCAAATCAATCCTGCTTGCCAAAGATGCCATAGTCTAGGAATAATATGCTGTAAGTCCAATTTCTTTCTTCTATTTCTTTCTTCTTTTCTTTATAATAAGTTTCAATGTTTTTATTTAATTCTTTTACTAATTTTTAATGTCTTTTCTTTATTTAATTTTAATAGCCTACCCCTCAGCGCCTTCATCCAATAATTCACCTGTACCTAATTCTCCTGCCAACAATTACCCTCCACCAAACACGCCTAATACTCCTATCAGAATAAATTTCCTTAACCCTTATAATATTAATTTAAATAACACGCCTTCAGCACCTGATTCCCCTAATCCCTCTATTACTTCATCAATTGAAACCAACTTTACTACATCTGATCCATTTTTTGAAAGATTATATGAACATAACCTGGCGTGGAAAACTGATTATATAACTTATCAGAATTGGCATTCTTGGAGGATCCTGGATGATACAATCAGACAATTTAAAGAAGCAGGCTTTGAAGTTCCAAACATAATTAATAATCATTATCATTTGTTGCGTGCACATTCTATAGCTGAGTATGTTTCAAGAAGGGGTGAAGATGAGTGTTTGACTGTAGCAACTTTTATTCCATTCCTTAATCATGCTGAGCGTGCAAATGCTGCTATTTTATCCCCCTACAGTACTCCTTCTACCAATCCTCCTAATACTGAACCTCCTCTAATTAATTATGTTAATAATAGTCCTCCTGTAATTCCCGCTGTAAATTCTCCTTATACTGATTATAATTATTCTGAATATACTCCTACTATTTATGAACTTCCAAGCTGGCTTGATCCACGCCTTTTCCCTTCTTCTCCTTAATTTTTTTTTTTTTATATCTTTTAACTTGTACATTTTTAATCTTCTTTTAACATTTTAATATAATTATTATACTGATAACTAGTGAAACATATCCTTATTTTTTTTTTTTTTTTAAATCTTATCTTATATTTTTATTCTGGTCTTTTAATTCTTTTAATCTTTTATATATATTTTTATCTTTTGAAATTAATAATATTATTAGTGGTAATTTATACTTATAATTGCGCCTCTTCCTCTTCAATGCCCACCTCCTCTTCTTCTGCTAATATTGCCACACCCCTAGGATAAAATCTTTTAACATGTTCAGCAGCATATTTTCGCGATAATTGAGTTCCATCTAACTCTTCTAGAATATAAGCACCTCCCATATGTTGTTCAACTACCTTATAAGGCCCATTCCATCTATTTTTAAATAATTTTCCCCATTGAAATTCTAAACTTTTGTTATAAGTTAATACCAAAGTTCCCTTCTCTAATGGATTTCTTAATCTATGCGCATTTTTCTTGTCCCAATATATAATTCCATCTACTCTTGCCTTCATCATCTTTTCATAAGCCTTCTTAATTAATTCTTCTCTTCCCAATAATTGTTCCATTCTTGCTTTTAATAAATCTTCTCCAGTGTAAATAATATCCCAATCAATACCTAAAAATGTCCCAGCTTCCAAATCCACGGGTAAAATTGCTAGTTGATTAAATAACATCTCATAAGGAGATAATCCAGTGGTTCTTTTCGTGGAAATCCTGTCTGCAAATAATACTTGAGGTAGAAATGTTTCCCAAGAAGTCCCAGTCTCATCACTTAATTTTACCAAAGCTCCTTTAATATCCTTATGACCTCTTTCAACCATTCCTTCTGACTGTGGCCAATATGCCGTGGATTCCCCTAATTTTGATCCTGACATAGCAATTGCATCTCTAAATACCCCTTTAAATTCAGAACCTCCATCCACAGTAAAACATTTAACAGAACCATATCTCATTAACCATTCTTTAGTAATAAATTTGGCCACTGTAGGTGCTGTTAACTTCTTTAAAGGTGCAGCTTCTACCCATCCAGTTAAATCATCTCTAGCTATTATAGCATAATTATAATTACCCGCCTTAATATGAATTGCATCCAAGCTCACTCTTCCAAATAAAGTACTTTCACCAGTTGCCCTTCCCATTTCTTTTTCTTTCTTTGAACTTTTCTTCTGACATATTTCACACGTCAATACCCAATCTCTAACAAATTCCTTCATTTCAGGCCACCAGAATCTTACCAAACATCTTTTATAAGTCTCCTCAATTCCTCTATGTCCTAATTCCTCATGTAATTTCTCTAAAACAAACCTTTGTCCTTCTAAATTTGAAACAACCAATCTTCCATAAGGTACTCCTCTTTTCTTCAATCTTTCATTTTCCATGTAATAAGAAGGAGCTCTATTCTTAAGCCTTTGAAACTCATCATCCAAGCATCCTTCAGGTCTTTTTAAAGTTGTTAAATACTCTTGTAAATACTTCCAAACACCTTCTTGCGCCCAAATTGTTCCACTCTCTTCCTCCTCTTTTTCTGATGTTAAATCCTCATTCTGCAATTTAAAACTTTCATATACTTTAATATCTTTATCCTCCTCATTAAAACTCTCAGCTGAATCTGAATCACTTCCACGCATTCTTCTTGATAATCCATCTGGCATTCCAAAGCTTTTAGCATGTTTATGAACTAAATCAAATGAAAATAATTGAATGAAAGCTACCCATCTTGTCATAGCAGCATTAGGTAAACTTGGCGTGTTAATCATCTGAATTAAAGCCTTTGCATCCACTTGTAATTCAAAATGTTGACCCCATAACTTTGTTCTGAACTTTTTAAGAATCTTTGCCACGCCACATAGCTCTAATTTGGGTTGAGAATACCTTGATTCCACCTCAGTAAATACTTCTGATTCATAGAATACTGGCCTGACTTCCCCTTTTCCATCCGCTTGCATTAATACTCCTCCAGCTGCTATATGACTTGAATCCACGGCTAGAATAATTGGACTTGCTTCTTCATTATAATCCAAAGCTGATAATATTATATCTTCCCCAACAATCTTCTTCAATAAATTAAAAGCATCCTCACACTCTTGA